TATATTTGAAGAGGAAGATGATCTTGAAAGAGGAAGAAAAAAGAAGTACAAGTAGTAAGTCTTTCGCCATTCAATAATTTACTGTAAATCGGGCTTTTTGTAAAGTTTGTGTTTTTTTAAAATACATGATAAACAAAAAAAATTAGCCAAAATTGGTTGCAACACCCTAAAGTATGACTTAAGCGCACTAAGCACCTTGAACTTTGTGTAGTAGCCAAAACATCAACAATTATGCTGTTAAGTGCGCCATGTGTCTTAAATGAAAAATTCCGGTTACCATAGTTAGTGGTGTTTTGGCTACTAAGCAGAGTTCATGGTGCTCAGTGCATCTAAGCCATACTTTAAGGTGTTGAGGTCAATTTTTGCAAAAAAAAAATCAATACATGTATTGAATGCAAGAAATATGATTGATAAATTTTTGAAAAAGGAAAATTAGTAAAATTCCTTAGAAAATTGGACGTTGCTCTGTGCTAGAATTAAGAATAGAGAGCTCACTTCACCAGGAACGAAACAACGAAAGGTCGGCCGAAGTGAACGATTATTCTTTATTCAACATCATTTATCCAATTTGTAATCAACAAAACAACTCTAAGTGTTGTCAAAAAAAAAAAAACTACAAGTTGGAATTCTAAATTTGAAAGAAGCATGTAAAAAGGGATGATTTACGAAAGTATGGTTATTTTAAAACTTATTTATACTTTTGCGTCGGAATGAAACTTAATTACGAAATTACTGTCCACGTAGGCTCGGATAAGTTTTTATTTTATTTTTTTATTTTTCAAAGTAAAACCGCTACCTCAGGTAGCGGTTTATGTACTAAAACCGCTACTTGAGGTAGCGGTTTTACCCTTCATAAATTGATTAAATGTATCTTTACTAAGAGTACTAATGACAAACCGCTACCTCAAGTAGCGGTTTTAGACTATAACCGCTACTTAAGGTAGCGGTTTGTCTCTAAAGAAAAAAAGTACCCCAAATGTATCTCCAATCTTACGTGGACTATATTTTCGTAAATAAGTTTCATTCCAATGCAAAATTGTAAATAAGTTTCTTAAAAGCTATATTTTTGTAAATCATCATGTAAAAAGTGGGTTTAAATCCCCTGTCCTATTTTTCATGTTCCATTTGTGTTCCACTTAATATTATTGGTTGTAATAATTACAAGGTCCCACTTCTCAAATTTTAAAAGGCAAATAAATATTTTAAGAACCAATCATATTTAGTGGAACACCAGTGGGACACAAATTATTAGGGGTGGCAATTCGGGTCAGTGGGTCAGCTTCGGATCAGATTTCGGGTCGATTTCAGGTTATACTTAAAAACAATCAAAAATAGTGTAAAACTAAATATTATTACGAAATATGAAAATTTGGTCAAATCGGGTCGAATTCGGGTTATTCGGGTTCGGGTCGGGTCGGGTTCGGGTTTCTCTCAGTAACTTCGGGTCGGGTTCGTTCGGTTTATCGGGTCGGGTCAGGGATTGCCAGCCCTACAAACTATGGGACATGATGTAAACCTGTAAAGTGGCCATATAGGATTCATATTGGACTTTTTCAAGATGCATTAATACTGTTTTACAGAGTAACTTTTAATAAGGATGACATCCAGCAAGTTCAATTGTAAAAATATTATATTGAACCCTTTCGCACTAAACACTTGGAACTTTGGAAGAGAGGTGAGAAAGAAAAGAGATCCACACCCCCAACCACACTAATTTGGAAGATTTGAAATTTATTTTGATACCTCATCCGTTTTATATTAAGTGACATACGTAGTATTTCTTTCCATCATGTCCAACATATAATTTCAAATAAAATATCATTAATTATTTTTAAGCAAAAGTTATTTAAACAAATAAATCACAGAGCTACTTTTTTTTTTTTTTTTTTTACAAGAAAAAATCATTTTTCTAAAAGTCAAGGTAATTTATGTGAAATGCCTGAAAGGGTTTAAAGTCAAAATGTGTTAACTAAAAAGAAATGATGAAAATATGAGATACTATGTAAGAGACAAGAACAACCTCGGTTATTATTATCATTTTTGTAAAGTCATCCACCATTCAATCTTTAGGTTTGATTATTTTTTTCATAAGAAAAGGGTCTTATTTTAATTTATATTTCTTAAATATCAAATTTTAATACTTGTTGATAAATGATAATTAAAAATATTTACAATATATTTAAAAACATGAATATAATAAAATATTTCATTTTAATAAAATAAGAACAAGTATATTCAAATAAAATAATAAAAATAAAGAAAGTTGACTACTACCTTTCCTAATCTCATTATACGAGATATCCAACTACAAGTGGCTTCTTGTATAAGCTAAACATAATAATAATTAAAAAAAAAAAAAACAAAACAAAGGGTGGAAAACAGAAATCGCTTTTCTAATGTAAAACAAAAAAACCCAAAAGTTTCAGTTAGGCCTTCATCAGTTCATCTACTTGCGGCGACTCTTCCTCAGTTCCTCTTCTCTTCAATTGTTCAATTTCAACATTATTCAAGCTATTTCAGGTAAATTGATTGTGAACTTTTTTTTCCCCTTATTTCTGATGTTGAATTTAATGTTAGTTGCACAATTATAATTATATATATTGAGGTTATGTTAATTTTAAGAGTTGAAATTCTAGGTTTTAATTTTTATTAAAAATTGCAAGAAATTTGATTTTGCTTATTTACTGAATTATTGTATTCATTTAGATTTGAAGAATGGTAACAAAGAGGACTATTACATCTTATTTTGCTCCCAAAAAAAGAGAGAGAATTGTTGAAGATTCAGACAATGCTGAACCAATTGAGGTTAGTGACAATGGCGGAACATCATGGGGGCCAAAGGGGGCCTTGGTCCCCCTCAACTATAATGCTACACATTAGAAAGTACAGTATATTATAGTAGGATATGTATGTGTGGTCCCCCTCAACAATTTTAAAAAAATTAATTAAACTAAAGTTTCCTAAAAGACACCGTGTACTGCTACTTGTATATGAAATGTAGTGGGGCCTTTTGTTGTCCTATTAATAAAATTAATATAATAAAATAATAAAAATAAAGAAAGTTGACTACTTCCTTTCCTAATCTCATTATACGAGATATCCAACTACAAGTAGCTTCTTGTATAAGCTAAACATAATAATAATTAAAAAAAACAAAACAAAGGGTGGAAAACAGAAATCGCTTTTCTAATGTAAAACAAAAAAAACCCAAAAGTTTCAGTTAGGCCTTCATCAATTCATCTACTTGCGGCGACTCTTCCTCAGTTCCTCTTCTCTTCAATTGTTCAATTTCAACATTATTCAAGCTATTTCAGGTAAATTGATTGTGAACTTTTTTTTCCCCTTATTTCTGATGTTGAATTTAATGTTAATTGCACAATTATAATAATATATATTGAGGTTATGTTAATTTTAAGAGTTGAAATTCTAGGTTTTAATTTTTATTAAAAATTGCAAGAAATTTGATTTTGCTTATTTACTGAATTATTGTAATTTTCTTTCATTTAGATTTGAAGAATGGTAACAAAGAGGACTATTACATCTTATTTTGCTCCCAAAAAATGAGAGAGAATTGTTGAAGATTCAGACAATGCTGAACCAATTGAGGTTAGTGACAATGGCGGAACATCATGGGGGCCAAAGGGGGCCTTGGTCCCCCTCAACTATAATGCTACACATTAGAAAGTACAGTATATTATAGTAGGATATGTATGTGTGGTCCACCTCAACAATTTAAAAAAAATTAATTAAACTAAAGTTTCCTAAAAGACACCGTGTACTGCTACTTGTATATGAAATGTAGTGGGGCCTTTTGTTGTCCTATTAATAAAATTAATAAAATAAAATAATAAAAATAAAGAAAGTTGACTACTACCTTTCCTAATCTCATTATACGAGATATCCAACTATAAGTAGCTTCTTGTATAAGCTAAACATAATAATAATTAAAAAAAAAAAACAAAGGGTGGAAAACAGAAATCGCTTTTCTAATGTAAAACAAAAAAACCCAAAAGTTTCACTTAGGCCTTCATCAGTTCATCTACTTGCGGCGACTCTTCCTCAGTTCCTCTTCTCTTCAATTGTTCAATTTCAACATTATTCAAGCTATTTCAGGTAAATTGATTGTGAACTTTTTTTCCCCTTATTTCTGATGTTGAATTTAATGTTAGTTGCACAATTATAATTATATATATTGAGGTTATGTTAATTTTAAGAGTTGAAATTCTAGGTTTTAATTTTTATTAAAAATTGCAAGAAATTTGATTTTGCTTATTTACTGAATTATTGTATTCATTTAGATTTGAAGAATGGTAACAAAGAGGACTATTACATCTTATTTTGCTCCCAAAAAAAAGAGAGAGAATTGTTGAAGATTCAGACAATGCTGAACCAATTGAGGTTAGTGACAATGGCGGAACATCATGGGGGCCAAAGGGGGCCTTGGTGCCCCTCAACTATAATGCTACACATTAGAAAGTACAGTATATTATAGTAGGATATGTATGTGTGGTCCACCTCAACAATTTAAAAAAAATTAATTAAACTAAAGTTTCCTAAAAGATACCGTGTACTGCTACTTGTATATGAAATGTAGTGGGGCCTTTTGTTGTCCTGTTAATAAAATTAATAAAATAAAATAATAAAAATAAAGAAAGTTGACTACTACCTTTCCTAATCTCATTATACGAGATATCCAACTATAAGTAGCTTCTTGTATAAGCTAAACATAATAATAATTAAAAAAAAAAAACAAAGGGTGGAAAACAGAAATCGCTTTTCTAATGTAAAACAAAAAAACCCAAAAGTTTCAGTTAGGCCTTCATCAGTTCATCTACTTGCGGCGACTCTTCCTCAGTTCCTCTTCTCTTCAATTGTTCAATTTCAACATTATTCAAGCTATTTCAGGTAAATTGATTGTGAACTTTTATTAAAAATTGCAAGAAATTTGATTTTGCTTATTTACTGAATTATTGTAATTTTCTTTCATTTAGATTTGAAGAATGGTAACAAAGAGGACTATTACATCTTATTTTGCTCCCAAAAAAAGAGAGAGAATTGTTGAAGATTCAGACAATGCTGAACCAATTGAGGTTAGTGATAAAGATGAGCCAATTGTTGAACCTAATGTTGATTGCACTGCTAATGAACAACCACCTAGTGAAGAGGGTGTTGGAGTTGATTTTTTAATGCGTGATCCTGGTTTGCGTAAATAAATTGAAACTTATGATTCTGATGAAAAGGATTTAATTAGGAGAGCATACATTGATTTTGGGCCATATCAACCTAAACTTGCTAAGTACCCATACTCTGGTCCCGAAAAACATCCACGTAGGTTTCAGAAAAGTTGGTATGAGAAGTTTCCTTGGTTAAAATATTCTCCGACAAAAGATGTTGCCTATTGTTTTTATTGCTTTCTTTTTGCAAAAAAAACCTCTTGGGAGATGTGGCTCGGATACATTCACAGTAAAGGGCTTTCAAAATTGGAAGAAAGTTAATAGTGGGAAAGAGTGTGCATTTTTGTGTCATATGGGGAAGGATTCTAATTCAGCCCATAATTTTGAAACAAAGTGCTATTTTAATCTAAAAAACCAATCTTGTCACCTTGAAAAAATTGTAGAAAAACAAAATGCTGAGGAAATAGTTAGAAATCGGTTACGCCTTAAGACATCAATAGATGCTGTTAAGTGGTTAACATTTCAAGCTTGTGCATTTAGAGGACATGATGAGCGTTCTAGCTCGATTAATCAAGGGAATTTTTTGGAGATGTTAAAGCTTTTGGCATCATATAATAAAGAAGTTGATTCTGTTGTTTTGGACAATGCCCCAAAGAATGCTAAATACACATCTCCACTAAGCCAAAAGGAGATTCTACATGTGTATGCTAGTAAAGTGCAAAGTACTATTCGTAAGGAAATTGGTGATGCTAAGTTTTGTTTGATTGTTGATGAATCTAGAGATATTTCTAAAAGGGAACAAATGGCTCTTGTCGTGAGATATGTAGATAAAAGTGGCTTTGTGAGAGAACGCTTCTTAGACTTGGTTCGTGTTAAAGACACAACTTCCAAAACTTTGAAAAATGAGATTTGTGCAGCTTTATCTCATCATGATCTAAGTCTTCAAAATGTAAGAGGCCAAGGGTATGATGGTGCGAGTGATATGCGTGGAGAGTGGAATGGGCTACAAGCTTTATTTATGAAAGAGTGTCCTTATGCCTATAACATTCATTGTTTGGCTCATCAATTGCAGTTAGCACTTGTTGCTGCAGCAAGGGAAGTGCCTCAAATCCATACCTTCTTTCAACAATTGATTTTTGTTGTTAATGTGGTTACAAGCTCTACTAAGCGACACGATGAGTTACAAGCGACTCAGTTGGCAGAAATTCAACATCTAGTTGAAATTGAGGGTCTTGAAACAGGAAAGGGTCTTAATCAAATTGGTACATTACAACGACCTTGTGATACAAGATGGAGCTCACATTACAGATCAATATGTAGTTTGCTAAGAATGTATCGTGCTTCTCGGTCCGTTCTTGCTGACATTGCTTCTGAGGGAACAACATATGCTCAAAGAGGTGATGCTCTAAATGGAGTCAAGTTGTTAATGTCATTTGAATTTGTGTTTAACTTACATGTGGTGAAGGGGATTATGGCCATTACTGATGGGCTTTGTCAAGCTCTACAATTAAAGACCCAAGATGTTGTGAATGCAATGCACTTAGTCTCCACTACAAAGACATTACTTCAAAATTTGAGAAATGATGGTTGGGTGAGTTTGTGGTCAAATGTGAGACAATTTTGTGAGATATATGATGTTGCTATTCCTGACATGAATGCTCCTTATTTTGATGTGCTGAAATCTATTAGGCGACAATCAAGACAAAAGGACATTGTGACAATGGAACATCATTACCGGGTGGATATATTCTTTGCTGCCATAGATCGACAATTGCAAGAATTAAACACCAGGTTCAGTGAACGAGCTACCGAGCTTCTTATTTTGAGTTCAGCCTTGAACCCCATAGATGGTTACAAATCATTTAATATTGAGCATATTTGCAAGCTAGCTAGAGACTTCTATCCTAAAGACTTCTCAGATCAAGAGAAAGAACATTTAAGTTATGAATTGCAGCACTACAAGCTTGACATTCCTATTCATCTTGAGTTGAAGAACTTGTCCACTCTTGGTGATTTGTGTAGAGGATTGGTGACTACTGAGAAATATAAATTGTATCCTCTTGTTGATAGGTTAATTCGCCTTGTATTAACTCTCCCTGCATCCACCGCAATAACTGAGAGAGATTTTTCAGCAATGAAGATTGTGAAAACAAACCTTCGAAGTAAAATGGAAGACAATTTTTTTAGGGACTACTTGGTGGTGTATATTGAAAAGGAGATCGCAGAGACACTTAGTGAAGATTCCATCATTGATACCTTTTACATGATGAAAGAGAGGCGAGCACAACTCAAATGAAGTTTATAAAGGTATGTTTATATGCGGAATTTTTCAAAAGTTTATTGTTAAGTATATTCCTTTAATTTTGCTATAATTTCTTAGAAGTTTAAGTGTGGAAACTTTTTGAGAATATTGGTTGTAATTATAATATGATTTCGGTATTATTAGTATTTGTTCTTCTTTGGTCCCCGCCTTGTTTATATCCTGGTTCCGCCCCTGATGGAACATATAAAATTTTACCGAATTAAGGACCCCACATTCGACTTTTTCTTCATGTAATAATACTCCACTGTTTTACCAGTAACTCTTAAAAACGTTGACACTCTTGTACGTAGTATAAAAAAGGCAGATTAGGAGCAAGAAACTCATTTCAAACAATTTTGGAAACCTGACCTTAAAACAATTCCAACATTTTTATTCTCTATTAAGATTTTTTTTTAAAAAAAAAAAAAAAAAAAAAAAAAAAAAAAAAAAAAAAAAAAAAAAAAACCTACGGAGTACTAAAATATGCCTGATAGTCTTAATCAAGAAGTTTATTACTATTACTTTCAACTTAAATGGATACTCTTAATCATCATCAATATGTTTAGGCCAGAAGTTTTCCTCTTCTTTACCTATCAACCATCATTACTAAGCATCTTCAAACTTATGTTGCTTGTCGCGGTGTTGATCCTTTTCCTTGTAGTATCCTTCGGAGCGTACTTATATAAGCTTGATAGTTGCTACCTTGTTATCCTATGGATTAAATTGGTACATCATGAGCAAAGGAGGTGTTCCTTCCCCCTCATTATAGCTGTCGTCTTCTCTTTCATATGTCCAGCTCCTATTTTTCACTACTTCAGTCCTTCCATCCTACTCCTCTGTATTTGGCCCTCGTTCAAAACCTTCATCTCCCGGATTTTTCCCTGCCAGGGAACCAACTGGCAAAACCAAGCTCCACAACTTGAACTTACTTTGGAATCCCTATACTACTATGATTTAAGGTGGGTTCTTCTACTTCTTGTCAACCAATTTTTTAAGACCTTATTTAGCATACCTTTTCTTTGATCACATCAATCTTTGCCCACAAATTCTCCTCAAAGCTTTCTTTCTGATTTTTGGAACGTCGCTTGCCTATCTCTGCACTTCCTTGAAGATTTGTTTTACTGAAGATGACAATGGGCACTTCCTCACCCTCTTAAGAATTGGTTTTCGAGATGGATGGTCCTTACTTGTTACTATTGCATTTGTCTTCTCTGTCTTATGTCCAACCCCTGTCTTCCTGTATTTCCACCCATGGAACCTATTACTCTCTCTTTGGCCCTCTTTTTCACTCAGCTTTCTCAGTCATCTTTTCTTCCGCCTTTACGCTGCTCTCTCCACCTTTCTCTCCTTTGGTCTGCCTATCATCCCATCCCCACTAGAGCCACATCAAGATGAAGAAGAAGACCCTGCTTTATTAGTCTAGGATAGAAGAAAAAAAATAATGTAATACCTCCAATTTTTTTTAGTTGCAACTTTGAGGCATTATTTGAGAGATAAAATACTTTAGGCTGAAACGCCTAGTTTTTTCGAAACATCCTAGGCTATTCGAAAAAACTAGGCGTTTCAGCCTAGGGTATTCTAAAAAACTAGGCGTTTCCTGGGTTTTGAATCTTTTAAAAAAATTTATCGCGACGTACCGATTTCATACGGTTTGACGAGCCTTCTACAAGCGTCTAAGGTTGTGTTTCTTGTATTTCGTCGTTGTCCATAAGATCTAACGAAATTGATTTTGCAAAATTTTAAAAATTTGTTTGATTTTGAAACTCACGGTGGTCTAGGTGGTTGTTCGATGAGCGTTGGTGGCCGTTGACCACTAGAGAGAATGGTAAAAAATTGTGTATAGTAAAAGTGTGAAATTGAGGTAAAATTAATTATTTTTTATAATCATTATTATAAGGATAAATACGTAATTTTATTTTATTTTGCAGGCGTTAGTTAGATATTTGAGGGCGATATTTAACAACAATTCTTCATGAAAATTATTTATAGCCTATAATATTCACCTAATGAAATATTTTTATATGTCTATATTTTTTTTAATATTAAGTAATTTTTTTAATTTTCTCCAAGATTTCTACAATATTCTCATGCTAATATTTCTATAATAATCTCATTCTAATATTATAATTTGGGAAAGCTTTACTTCTATATTAATCTCATGCTAATATTTTTTTATAAGCGTATTTGATGTTTCATTATTTTCCTCACCTTACTTATGTATCATAATAAAAACCTATACTCACTCATTTTTAAGAATTTGATTTTTACATATAGAAAACTAAAGTTAAAGTTAACTAAACTTGTGTAAACCAATCTGTATGTCAAACTGTGTCAACAAAGTAAGGACAGGATAGGGTATGTATATAGCATGGGTTCTAAATAATCAATAGACCCTATTTTTTTCATATTTATAAAGTCTAACACATCAATAGCCTTAGAAATTTACATGCATCATTGTCAAAAAGAAATGTCAATATAGCTATTGTTTTTTACTTTTATAAATGTAATTCTTTATTTATATATAATTGTTAAATTAATGTTATAGTTTGTTAAATAATTTTATTAAAATCCGTGCATTGCACGGGACTTTAACTAGTAATGATATAAAAGGCGAGTTATTGGTTTGTAAACAAAAATTTTAAATCTGCAAAATATAGATTCACAACAAATGCAACAAGGTTTTATTTTTATTAATTTGATAATTTTGGGTACAATCTCTAATTTGATCCTCTGATTCGATCTCCACTTTGACTTTGACGTAATTCACGAATTGACTTGATTCTTAAACGAGGGTTGTCGAGACTTGATCTCGATCGAAGATTTGATGCAGAATTTTGACTTATTGTTGATGTAGACCTTTGACTTGTTGTTAATATAAACCTTTGACTTGAATTCTTGATTGAGGGCCGACGAGACTTGACCTCTTCCACGAGTGATGATCTTCTAGAGTAGAACGGCACGTCGAATGCTTGTTGTTCTTCTATGAGGGAGGTTTAGAGTATTTGATGAAAGGTTTTCTTTGGAGAGGTTTTGAGTATATGAGAGGTTTTCTCTGTATTTTGATTCTCTTTTGTTTTCTCTCTCTTTTTAGGTTTTTCCTTTCTCTAGGTTTTCCTCCTCTTCTCCAATGAAATAGAGAGAGCTCTATTTATAAAGTGAGACACCCCTAGGGTTAGAGTTAGATATGTATTGGGCTTTTGACTTATAATAATGCACGACCCATTTACAATAGCTTAACCCATTTAAGTACGTTTTCACTATTAAATAAACAATTTTAATTAAAAGAACTAAAGTGGGCTAATTTAATTTATCCACCCAATTTAATTAATTATTTAATAGTCAAATTAGCACAAGTTAATAAATTGACTTTGACTTATCCAACGTGACACTTTAGTTAAAATTTTCGTGCCTACATGGTTCAAGCGATGTCCAAATCATAATTTTGTATATGGCTAATTGATCGTCACTTCATAACTTTAAGAGGGATTAAGTGTCTGTGATAACTTCACCATATGGATCCAAACAATCAAACATCACATGTAGCCCCACATAACTCGCGATTAATTTAAAAGCAAACAAACTCACACATTGATCATTTGAGAAACTAAATAATAACTCCCATAAAAGATTTACCATTTCCTATACATGTACCTATCTTCATTCCACTAGGCAAAAGATTTCTTCCTTTTAAAATATCTTTCCAAATTTGAGATTGAGAGCTATAATGGATGTGGTCAAGAAAAATCGAGTGTTTAAGTATTCTTCATTGAAAAATATGACACAAAGCTTATTAGGATTGTTTAACATAGTCCACCAAAGTTTAGCCATAAACACAATATTCCAATCACGAAACCAATGAATGCTTACACCTCCGATTTCTATGGGTTTGATGACATGATCCCCCCCCCCCCTCCAAGGGGTGGTGGTAGTGAACACTTTCAACCTTGTTCTAAAGGAATTTCTTGTACATTTTTTTCTAGCTTAAGTTATCAAGCAAAGCTAAAAGGATGAGGTTATAAGTTTGCATATGATAAATCAGATAGAAAATTAGGAATGATTTTAACATCGTCGAGCATCTACCAAGATTGAGCAGTTTGTCTTGCCACCATGTAATTCGATTTAGGGTTTAATCAAGCAAAGTCAAGTAGTTGCAACTTTTTACCTTACTAGGGAGAATATCGATTCCTGAGTATTCTTCCAAAGTTGGAACTACACTTTAAATTAAAGGGGGCACCCACACTATTCCTAACAACATGACACATTTTCTTAGGAAAAATCATAGAAGATTTGGTATTATCAATCTCGAGCCTCGAAAGATTTCCAAATTCAGTAACAACATCCATCATGACTTTAACATTGCAAGTAGAAGCCATACTAAATAGAAACAAAAATGTAAGAGGACATAGGGTCTCCTTGTCTTATCTCTTTAGACAGAGTGAGGTTTAGCTTTCATAAACCTCTCCATTCCTTATAGAAAGAGAATAAATAGAATTCGTGATAAAATTAATGAGAGAAGGGGGAAAATCGAAACCATAGAGAGTATCCCTAATAAAGCACCATTCAAGACTATTACTGTAATACCCCATATTTTCATACGTATTTTCTAAGGTATTTTAGTAAAATCATTATTTGGAGCCAAAATAATATTTGAATATTGGCGTCAAATATAAGTATTTAATCATTTGAATAATTAATTAATTTTGGATTTCTAAATTAATAATATAGGTTTAATTGTTTTTTTAAGGTCGGTCCATACTTTATTATACTAACTATTTCAAGAGAAATATCTAATATACATTATGTATTTAACTAATTTTGATATTATCTAAAATATTTATTTATTCAATTATTTTATTATGATTTTCGTTTTTTTTTTTTTAAAATTGTGAACGTGAGTTATCATGTTTTTAAGAGTGATTTTATCACCTTAGTTTGTTAATAATTATTTAACTTAAACTCTAATTCTCTATCTCATTTTGTTCCTATCTTTCTTC